TCAATTCTGTCAGTTTTGATAATTGGCCTAATCATCATAGAAACTCATTTCCCCCCTCTCTTAAACTAGTAATGTGATAAAAGAAATTTTGAGTCTCATGCTCCCTGTAAGAAAAAGTGATGTAGTCCACACCAATACCAATCGTTTTTTATCATGAAAAATTCCAATGAAAAATCTTATTCCTATGTTCAATTTTGATATGAGTGAACATGAACACAGTGGGATACATAATGAAAAATATATAAGCAGTTTTGAGCCTTTGAAATATTAAATGTTTCGCTAGACCATCAATTGAACATATTTAGATTATTGTCTCTGAACTCCCTCTTGTATTTTTTTTTTCCGAATTGCCAGTTTGTGTCTCTGTACTTGCATTTTGGGTGGTGCACATAAAAGGGAAAAGCAGAGATTTTAAACAAACCACTCCACTTTTCTTTGACTATCAGTTTTCTGATCTCTACCAAAAAAAAGCTAAACAAAAGAGTTGTACGTAATTTTAGAATGGAAAGCAATCTTTTCTACCCTTAGTTTATTATTAAAATAAAAGATAATTTGTTCCTCTGGTAAATTATGTCCACGCATAATGTAACTCCCACAAATACAGTTCTCCAGTGGACTAAGAAATCTCAACTTTTCTAAACACAAATCTTCAACTATTCTACACATTTTATGGAATTTTTCTTATCAGCACAGAGACAGGTAGTTATGTCCAAGCAAACTAGATTCTAAGAAGCTGGCACAGGGAGCTGATTAGTTAGAGTGTGTCCAATCTATCCTCACTTGTCTTACTTGAGCCTCCTGCCCTGGCCTTTCTCTCTGGTCAAGGTGACTTTTCTCTGTTCCCTATCTCAACCCAGGAGCTTAGGGCCTCTCTTCAATTATCTTGAGTCAACAATGCCAAATGTACATCTGTTAACTGTACTCACTTCTATCAGTACAGCCACTCAACTCCTTTCAACTCAAGGACAAATATATTTTCTCCTCCCAGGAAGAAATGTCTTGAGCAACCCTCTGGCATTGTCAACAGGAGAATACAGAAGATTGAGTGAAACTTTAGTGCTAAGTAAACACTTGGAAATAGGAAGCAGGCATTCACTAAAAATGATTAGCAGTGGGGGAAGAATTCTACTGTCTCCAGAAAGCTAGAAACTGTCTAAGCAAGTTTTGCTGAGGAATCCACAAAGAAGCAAGTCATCTAGCTGTTTAAAGTCTGTAAGAGTGTGTCAGCAGCTACATCACCCATTGTTTCTGCCTTGCTTCTAGTAACAACATGAGTAATAGTCTGGATAGCTCCATTGTCCTCACTAAGAATGGTTATTAAAACTACTTTTGCAGAATATTGTGAAATGACATAACTCAATGTCCATCAGTTTCCTGAAAATCTACAGAATTTTATGGCTTCCTAAAATGTTGTAATAATCTGTGATTTTTCAGAAGAGAAGGCCAAATCTTCTAAAACATTCAAAGTATCATAAGAGACAATGATGTTGTAACCTAATTCCTTTTCACCACAATGCCATCTAACAAACTGAGTCTATAAACAACCGGGGGCTGGGAGGAGGGCCCCCAGTTCCACTAATTCTACTTTGAAATGGTCAGCAATTTATCACAAGAATTATCCTAAGATAACTTAAAATCCTCTTTGAACTCTACATTCATAGTAGCTGAGGGGACCAAGGAGATGAACACATAGGCAGAAGCCAATACAAAACATGTATTTCTTTATAATGTTTCCAACAAAGTGAATTTTCTTCCAGATTAGAGAGATGGCCCATAGGAAATATTGGGTGGTTGAAAAGTTATGACATATTTTTTCTTTGAAAAGCACAGAAAAAAATGTGTCATGATTTTCCCAACAACCCAATATGTTAATATATTACTAGACATCACCATTATTTTTCTTCCCACAACAACACAAAATTGATGAAAGAAAATGTAAAAAGTAAGGAGACATTCTGCGTTCATCCATTGGCAGACACACATAGTAAAGACGCCAACTCTTCTTAAACTGACATATATAATCTCATTATTTTTGTTGTTGTTGCTGGTGTTATACACAAAATTATTTTAAAGCTTATATGGATTTTCAAATGTAGTTGCAAATTAGAATGTATTCATATTTGTACTTTCTGTTGAAATGCATGATTGCAGAATTGTTACTTAGATTTTTGTGTTTTTGGATGAAAAACTTTGTTTTTGTTTTTAAGTTTGCACTCAAATCTTAAATAAATCCACTCATATTACCAAAAAAAAAAAACAAACAAGAAAGAAAGAAAAGGAAGAATATAGTGGGAGGGATTAGTCTACACCATTTCAAGCAATATCACAAAGCTACATCAGTCAAAACTGGACGGAAGGGTAGACTCATACATCAATGGAATAGAATAGAGGACCCAGAAATAGAGACATACTTTCTTAATCATTTGAGTTAGAAGAAAAATGCTCCCGAATCAATCAGATGGTGGTGGCTCTTTGAAGAAGAAAAGTCAGGAATAGAACAGACATGTTCTTATTTAGGTAGAGGAAGCAGGAAGCAGGAGTTACAGAAAACAGCAATCAGTACAGATCAGAAGGTCCAGGAGACCAGGAACAAAAGAGAAAGGAAGAGGAAATGATCTTCACCTCTAAGTTCCAGCTGCCTCTAGACATTCCTCACTCTTTCTTTGCCTTTTTGCAAAGAAGAACTGGGGTGTAGGCCAGTGGTGCGGGTGGTGAGAAGATTCACCAGAGACAGAGTGGGGAGCAGAACAGGCGGATCTACTGAAATACACGGCTGAGGGGAGTAGCAGGTGAGACAGGAGAGGTCTGCTCCACCATGGGGGTTAGTTCCCTGGCTGGGGATCTAACTCAGGCCATAGTGCTGAAGCTTAACCCCTACACCACCAGGGAGGCCTCAAGATCCCTTATTCTTTCCTATTAATAAATTTTATCCTTGGGCCTCCCCTGGTGGCACAGGCGGTTGAGCGCCACGCTGTGAAGCTGTCCGCAGCCTCTGTAGCGCGGGTTCAATCCCTGCCAGCTGGCAAGAATCCCACATGGCAAAGCAGACCTCTCCTATCTCGCCCACTGCTCCCCTCAGCAGTGTATTTCAGTCAGTCTGCCTGTTCTGTTCCCCACTCTGTCTCTGGTGAATCCTCTCATCCTCCCACTCATCTGGCCTGTACCCGGTTCTTGTGCAAAAAAAAATAAATAAATCTTTAAAAAAAATAAATTTTATCCGGCTTCCCCTGGTGGCGCAACGGTTTCACGCTGGGCTGCAGCCCAGCAGCCTCTGCAGCACCAGTTCGATTCCCAGCCACCTGCAAGGGTCCCACATGGTGTGCAGACCTCTCCTGCGGCGCCTGCTGCTCCCCTCAGCAGTGTATTTCGTCAGTCTGTTCTGTTCCCCGCTCTGGCTCTGGTAAATTATCTCACCCTCCCGCGCTTCTCACTGTACCCAGTGCTTGTATAAATAAATAAATAAATCTTCTTTAAAAATAAAAATAAAAATAAATAAACTTTATCTTTGAACTAATTAGAATGGGTGGCACTCTCCAATTGCCCTTCACTGTGAAAGGACATCCCTGTTGAGGGAAATCACCACCATGACTTCCAGTGTTTTGTCAAAACCTCGGATGCAAGACCTTCTGGCCAAGCATCTGCATTTTCATATTATGGAACACTGGCAGTTGCAACTTTCCATAAGTGTGCTGTGGCAGAACCAAGAAAGAAGGCAGACACAGATTTCTACAGAAATGATGAGTCCGTGAAAGATTCTGAGGAGATGAGGAAGGCTGGGCCCTTTCAGAGTGCAAAGGGATTTTGAAACAGAAAGGATTTCCGTAGCTTCACTTCTATGGAAGTTGGTCACTGACTCATGTTCCTGAACTATGAAACATGAACATCAGGGCTAAGGAATAATTTCTCTTGATAAATAAACCATTAAATACTGTACTAAAAAATAATTACAAAGGGTATCTGATTGTGATAGCCATTGCTCCAGACTACAACAACCACTTACAAAGATGGAACGACAACTTAGAGACAATTCATCAAACTAAAAAATGAACCACAATTCACAGAGAATTTCTGGTTTCCAGGATGGCCTTCATGCTTCTTCACAGAGAATGACAGAACGATGATATCAGGGGACAAAGATAGATGACATTCAGCTTTTGAATGAAATTTAGAATTCTGAGATGGCATAAAAGAGGCAATAAAAATGAGGGCTTCTGGACACAAACATATGCTTCCGAGTATCAGTGACCAGGACTGGACACCAATTCTAGGACCAAAGCACTCTGGACAAATCACTTAACCTCTCCGACTTTTAGTTATTTAAAGGGACACAGTAATGATACCTGTTCCATAGGAAAGCTCCAGCAATGGACATTCAGCATAGCACTCTACACAATATATATACAATATATACACAGGATTCAAAGGAGCATAGTGATGTTAACAGTGCTGTTTTAATTTTGTTATCTGTCATTTGGAAATATTTCAGAGAAGGTCTATAGATACAGATGCTAAAGTACTCTTTCAAAAGCATCAGATTTTTTCACTTGCCATGTAAAATCACATGAACATACACATGAAATGATTTACAAAGTTTTAAATACCATATCAACATCAATGATTATTATTCATCATGTTTTCTCCCTAAAGTAGCGACAATGAGTGAAAATTCTATTTCTGACAAACTAAGTTTCTTTCATATGTGTTTGCAAAATACAACTTCTCAGCAATTGTTAAGTTTGTGATATAGAATCTGCATTAGCAGAAGCAAGGACACAGATTGGTTCTATTTATTAAGTCATTGATAACTGGGCTTATGAAAACCTACGGAATTTAAGACTTTGTAAGAAATCAAAATGCACTGGCTCACTTTATAGGATGAATTTGTTTCAAAAACATTGTATAATAATTGGTATGTATTCTGCTAAGTATTGCTAAATAGCCAGATAAATGCAGCTTATTGTTAAATATTTAATTAAATTAAGCATAGCCATTTAACTTACCTACCATGAGTCCCAAGAATGCAGGCAATTGAAATCAAGGTTTCCATTTGTTACAGTTCACTGCTGTGAGTTTTCCTGCAATCTCTGCCAAACAAAATGAAATGAATAGAGGTTACATATTCAAGGCTTCTATCTTTTATTTCTTAAAGCTCATCAATATGTAAACCCCTGGAGAGTTCACTTTCTCAGTTTGTACACCAAGCCTTCACTCATGTGAGGATCACAGTTCGGTGAATTATGTAAAAGATCCCTTCCATCACTCTCTACCCTCCTTCGCCAAAGGATGATAACCTGAATAATGCTTAGCCTATAAATAGGCAAAAAAAAAAAAAGTTAAAGCAAAGAGCAGGGCAGAAAATTTAATGTGTGACAGAAATATATAGAGTATTGGGGGTTTTTTGGCAAAAAAAAAATTATATAGCTTGGAAAACAGATAACATCACCTTGGACTAAAGTCAACTTGGTGGGGAAAGAACTTCAGAAAGATTGTATTTTAGAATTGTAAATTGCAATAATAACTCTCCAGTCTCTTCTCAATGATTCAAGCCACCTCCCACCCATGTACCGGAATTAATCATGCAGTCCACAACTGGGATCACGTGTTAGCCTACTCCTCCAACCCATCTTGGTGCTCCTCGCCTCAAGTCTAGTGTGTTCCTGCAGTGCTCAAAATCAGTATGAGGGAGGCATCCTGAGTGCTAATTGATTCACATTCAGCAAGTTTTAAAAGGTCTGGGATTTTATAGATGCTCAATAGAGATTGTGAAGTAAATGAGTTATGGAATAAACAAATGGATGGGTAGACAAATGATGAATGAATGGATGGAGAGTTGGATAAATGTTGAGCAAATGGAACAGTAAGTAGCTGGTTGTCTGAGCTTTACTCCAACTGAATGAACTATCGTGTGGTCCTAAAAAATCAAAACATAAATCACTCAAAGTAAATACCCGGCACCCTAATTTTTTTAAAGGCTTCTTTCTTTTATTGTTCTTCCAATTCAGTATACCAGGAAAAAAATCATTCTCCTTAAAATTATCAAAGAAGGAATTTGGGGGAAAACACTTTTTTAATTCAAAAAATAGTGAACAATCTACAAAGCCCTATACAAAGAGGGTAGAGATCAATTGATGCTATCATCAGTGCACTTAAACATAGCTTCTAAAAATGAGACACTGATGAAAAGGAGTTTAAAAGCTGTTCCCTTTACACTATTCTAAAATAGTTGATGTTATTTCATTTTTTTTCTCCTCTGAGCTTTCAAAATACTCATGCTGAGATACAGAGATTGTATTCAGTTTGTGAAATTAGTGACATAAAGCTTCTCCAGCCACCCCTATTATCTAGCACAAAGACGCTAAAGCAGAATTGAAATCCTATTATATATATTGCATTAAATTGGTTCCCAGCAGGGCATCTTAATTAAGATGTGCTTATTACCTGGGTCCAGATTAAGTGGCATGGACTGTATCACAGTCTTTATAATCAGACAGAAAGCAGGGTTAGCCCAGGCCTGATTTGCTAATGAAGGCTAATGGCCCGTTGCCTTCATGGTACAATTGTGGTGGGGGACTTTTTAATACCACACCAGACACTGCTTTAATTTAACGCTAAAAATGCACATAACCCTACTGCCCTTTCTTAAGTAAATACTTGTAGGTTTTTTAGCATTAATCTCCTAAAGAGAGATTTGCTTCAGACCTTTACACTGTATACTACAGAACTTAGCAAAATTGGAATTTTTTCCTCGTTGGACTGCTTTCATTTCTAATACCTCCCCCCAACACTCATGACACCATGCTCCTACATACCCTGCAGATAACCTCGGCCAATCTTTAGTGAATCTATGAGAGCCCAAGAAACTATTTATGATCACAAGTCAAGGATGTATCCCTAAGATCCAAGATGGCTGAGAGATTGAGCTCCAAAGTTCCAAGCGGAAATATATGTCCTTTGTGATATCAGAGAATTTCTATCCATATATCCTTGTAGTTTTGCAATGTCTACCTTTTTTTTTTTTTTCACTACCTGATGGAATTAAGCAGGAGCTTTCTCATCCAGGTAAACCCCTCAGTTTCACCCCCTATCACCTGTAAATAAAATCTTACTGAATCCCCTAGTTTTTCTCCCTTGCGCCTAGGAAACCCACATGAATTAAAAATTCAGCTGGGTAGCAAAGATCCCAGGAAACGCCCATCAAACACCTTTAAAATCAGCACTGCTGAAAAGAGCCAGCATAGTCATATAAATATTTGATGAAGGGGACTCAGTTATTGGTGCTGCAATAATTATACAAATTGTAATGGTAATCCTCACTATCAATAATACCTTTAGCGGAAATAGCATTATATACTTCACTCAGGGAGAATAATAACAATATTAACACAGTAGTGACATTTGGCAAGCCAATAACTCCCAAGCTGGGCTCACTTGGCAATCAGGACAGCAAGGAACCTTAGCAAACACATATTTTTTTGGCTGTCGTTCAGTTACTGGAGTGTCAGAGAATATTTGGCATTTAATGCTATGCAAAGTGTTGTTCCCGTTTGATTGTTGTATACTATATAAGCCTTGGAGCATGACATGAAGTAATTTAACAACTGGAATAACAGGCATTTGGGACAAAACTAATTTCATAGGAAGGCTGATCACAGACATTCAACTTGTTCATAAAAATGTTACCTTGTCATATAATACAAAGTTGAAGATCAAGCTATGAAAGGAAAAATATCCCTCAATTCTTAGAACACGAAGTCTGTTTTTCATAATAACATTATCTTAGTCTAAATACCAAGAAGTGTCTTCATATTTCTTGCTGTCTCTCTCTGCTGTTTCCAGGAAATGGGTAGCTGAGTTAGAAAGCTTGTCAATGCTATAGTTATGATCAGCCCCATGCTCTTATCTCAAAGAACAGCTCTTCATTTCTTCCTGGTTACCAATAAAAGGTGCCAAAATATTCTTTTTTTTTTAGAAATTTTTTCATTGCATAGAAGAACTGGGGTGTAGGTCAGAGGTGCAGGGGGTGAGAGGATTCACCAGAGACAGAATGGGGAGCAGAACAGGCAGATCTACTGAAATACACAGATGAAGGGAGCAGCAGGTAAGACAGGAGAGGTTTGCTGTGCCATGAGGGTAGCTCCCTGGCCGGGGATCAAACTCAGACTTTGGTGATAGTGCTGAGACTTAACCGATAGGCCACTAGGGTGACCCCTCAAATATTCTTATCATAGTGTCAGATTAGTACAAAGATAGGAGAAAACAAGGCAGAATAAGAGACACTTTGAAAGATGACAGTCTATTTTCTTTTCCTAGATAATTAATACAAGGATAATCTCAGCAATCAGTTGCCCTCCATTCCCACATTTCCAAACACACCTCCCTTTAGTATCTATTAGGGAGGAGGCGGGTTCATTATATGATCTCCCAGACTACCCACTCCACAGCTGCTCTTCAATATCACGTCTTCTCCCCACTAACTGTGCTGCTTGTCACTGTCAGTGACTGTTAAGCATTCATAGAACTGTGACAGTGATAGAATCCTGCATCTTCTGCCCAGAGTTGAGCAGAGGATTGAGTGTAAGAAAAAGTCACATTTCCCTTTACAGCCTTATTTTTTTCCAAAGGCCTGCCAATATTTCAGAATTCAGTGAACTCTTGGAAGGTGAAACCAGAACATTAATTACCAAAAATATTCTATTTTCCACAGCTCACCATCCCCACTCACAACCACCTAATTCGTGCCAGTATCAACTTTCACCTTATTGTGATAGTCTTTTGCTTGGCCTTCTTACTGCTCCTGTTGCATCCTTACTCTCATTCAGCAACGACCATGATCTTAAATAAATATATGTATATGTATATGTGTATATATATATATATATACACACACACACACACACACAGAGAAGAAAATAAGCACCACTTAAAATAAACCAAACCAACGATACATAATATATAAATGTAGAATGCCTCTATCTCCCAGTGCAAGGTACACATAAAGAGACAGGGTCTTGATCTAATTTACTCCTTTTTATAATCCTCAGCCACTATATCAGTTTCAAGCACAATGCAGAACTTAAACATTTGCTGAATTAGCTTAATGATGGGCTATTGTTTACCTTTGTTTTCTAATTTTGTAAAAACTTCTATATATTATCGATTGGATTTAGCCTTACCACATTATCTTTCTGGTAATGCTTCTCCCCTTTGTGAAATTAACTGACTTCCTAAAACAAAATAAAACCCAAAACAAATTGTTAAAAACACAATGGGATCTTTCTGTAGCAAGAATCAATATGGGTTTTAGCAACATGGGCCTCAATACTCTGTCTCCAGCATTCCCTGAAAAGGGTAAATTTAAACAACAATCTAAACCAATTAAGAGGAAGGTAGAAGCTCTTAACTATGCCCTCATTTCAGAAAGTCACTTCTCTACTGTGTAGAGAAGTGCCTTCTTCTGAGTAGGCAATGTTATCATCCCTCCTTGGAGATAGTGAAAGTAGGGGCTCAGAGAGGTAAAGTGACTTGCCCAAGGTCACACAGCAAGTTGATGACGGGGTACTTAAGTTGATTTATTCAGTCAAGGGAACACTTTATGAGCATCCCTCCACCCATCCAGTCCAGGCACTGGAACAACAGTGACAGTATAATTCAACTTCCTGTCTTTATGATTTGCTCCAAAACCCCTGATGTAGAATCTTCTGTCTACTTGGGCAGAATAGAGAGAGCCAATAGATCGGGTATCTTAGACCGGATTCTCCAGAAGCAGACTCTTAGATAGTTATGGCAAGACAAGTAGTTCACTACTTTGTCAAACTTCCTGGGCTTACCTTGAGTCTGCAGAGTGTCTGAAATACACACAAAGCTACAACACTCTTTTACTGCCTTTCCCTGAGATGCAAAAAGCAAAGTGAAACTCTGAATGCATGGCTTGTCCAGGCCTTTTTAAAAAATTATTTGTTATTATTTTTTTAATTGTATATATTTTTACATCATTTTTCATTTTTGCACAATGTGTGCATTTTCATCTTGGTTATAGTCCCCATACAATTCCCACCACCCTTGTTTTGATCCCACTCCCTCCCTC